AAGAAATGAGTCAAAATTAAGCAAAGATGCAGGGACATTGCAGATAGCTGGAACTGTCACTGAAACAGAGAAAAGGCCGTACATTTTGGAGAAAATATTCCACAAGGCTTTTAGTATATGAGCTATGGAATCTAACAGTAAATAACCATGATAAAGACTGCAATGAATTGGTGCTGTGGAGGATCCAAAAAATAAATATAAGCTGTGATTCTTATTCAGACCAGTCAGAAAGATAAGGCATAGGTATATAGTAATAAAAAGCTGCAAATGTAAATTCCCCTGGTGAGTACTACAGACAATAAAATCTGTATGTGTTTGGAAGTAAAGGGAACCATTTCTATAGCGAGACTGAAAGTAGTCTCACCTACTCTAGAAGAAAGAAGTATCTTTCTTGACCCCATTTAGACCTTGAACCCAGAACTAGAATGCTAGAATGCTAGGCTGTTTCCACAGGTCGACACAAAGTGAGATAGCATTTGGGCTGGTCAGTGCTAATCCAAACTGGATTTCTAATAGGGAGAATAGTGCAAGAAAAGATGACAAATCAGAAAAGAGCAAGGTATTTGGAGAATAATTTCATCAAGAACACAGGAATTACTTGGTTTTGCACAAGGAAATATGACTAAGCCCAGTGGGGGTGGTATTTTGAAAAAAATGAGGCTACTTCAGCCAAAACCAGAGAACACAACCTGGAGCCTCTGTTCTTAATGAATTATGGAACAGGAAGCGTTTCCATGTGTTCTCTTGTAGGTGGCAGGGTGACCAGAGTGTTTTCCATTTACCTCTGCCTGAATCTGTAACTCAGAATTGGGTAGGGGTAATGGTGGAGCGCTGGGCTTTCTCAAATGGTTGTCTTGGGCAACTGAGAGTCGCACTAGAGGATGCGTTTTAGAACTGACATCCCTGAGCACAGTCAATCAGCTCTCCTCCTTCATGCTGCTTTTTTGGTGTTCATATGGGGGAAATGGGGCTTTATTTGCCTACTGTATTCAAGGGTCTCTGCAAAGGCAGCATCATTACCATGCGCATAAATTTCTTAATGAAATGAAGCTGCTGAGGCAATGCTGTGCTGATGATCACTCGGCCCTTGATCATGTTCGCTCCTAATTTTCAATACTCTTTCTGCTCTGCCTGCTTTACTACTTCCCTCCTGGTTCTCTTATTTTTTGTTGTTGTTTTTGTCCTTTGCCTTGTATCACACTTGTGTGCGCTAATCCCTTGGTCTAAGTGTGTGCTCTGTGGACCAGAAACACTGACTCTGAGTCCTCATCTCAGACCTAAGTAATCAGAATCCCTGTCTTTAATGAGTTCCCAGGATGATCTGTATGTACTTTAAAGTTGGAGCAGCACTGATCCAGTGCATCTAAAGTTCCTGCCTGGAGAAGGTACAGCTGCAGTGCTTCACTTGGTCTTTAAGCCCTGTGTTACCTATGGGCACTAGTTTTAGCCCTTGAGAATTTCTTGCTTTGCATTATTTATCATAGGATCTGGAGATTGCCTATCTTGAGTAATTAGGGTGTGGTATCCAAACATCTCAGTTTGCCTGACATTAAGGCCTTTCCAGCCCATAGGACTTTCAGTGCTAAATCCAGGGAAGACAGATGAGTTTGTTACCCTAGAAGCATCTCTTCCTAACCTACCTAACCTTTCCATGATTTTGAGTCTTATCCCTGGTGTTGAAGGTGTAAAATCCATGACTGGAATCTGACACTATAAGTCACAACTGGTTCATAATTGCTTCTGAGCAAGCTTAGGAGAGATTCTTGAAGTCTGAGAGGAGTATCTCATAGCCTTCCCCAGCCAGACTTAGACACACAGGTCTGTGGGATGAAGGCAGGAAGACAGATGATCACTGCTCTCAATACTGGCACAAAAATGTTCTTGTACAGCTCATTTGCTGAGCACTTTAGACTTAGGATATTCTAAAAAAGCTAGATTTTTAACATTAAAATTTAATTGGAATACAGCAATTGCACATTTATTGGGTACAGTGTGACCTGTCAGTACATGTATATACAATGTGCAATGATCACATCAGAGTAACTTGCTTATCCATCATCTTACACATTTAACATATTTTTGTATTATGAATATTCAAAAGCTTTTCTACTAGTTACTTTGAAATACACAATTAATTGTTGTTAACCATAATTATCCTACTGTGTTATAGAACATTAGAAGTTATTCCTCCTACCCAACTGCACCCCTGTGCCCATTAACCAGTCTCTGCCTCCACATATTTCCCAGGCTCTGGTAACCAGTATTCCACTCTCTACTTGTATGAGATCAACTTTTTAGTTTCCTTGTTGTGCCAACAAATGGGCAGCGAGTCAAAAGATTGAATGCCAAGTTTTTATTTTGCCGGCCAGAGTCCAATCTCAAGGACACAGCCTCCGAGAAGGACCCCCGACTTCTTTCAGCTGCAGTTTTTAAGCCGTTTTAGAACCAGGAAGTTGGCTCTCTCCCGAGCTCCAGTGGCGCAATCGGTTAGCGGGGTAAGCCGTGAGGGCGCGGGTGGCAAGCGCAGTTACAGAAGCAGAACGGCTGTTATGGGAAGAGTACATTTTGCAGTTTTTATCTTGACAATAACACTTATCTTGACAAATTACCTGGGGGTTCAGGCAGAGGTCAGTGCCGTGCATAAATGGAGATTTTACTAAAAATGGAGGCATGGAGGCTCACTTGACTCAGGCCTCATATCCTTATGTAAATGGGTACAGGTGGCTTTTGATTTCTGTACCATACTTCACTTAGTATAATACACTGCAATTCTATCCATGTTGCTGCAAATGACAGAATTTCATTTTTATGGCTGAATTGTATTCTATTGTATATATAAACCACATTATCTTTATATATCCATCTGTTGATGGACACACCTAAATAGATTCCATATTTTGCTCATTGTGCCAATAGGGCTATAATAAACATATGTGAGCAAATATACCTTTGACATCTTTTTTTTTTTTTTTTGGTACCGGGGATCGAACTCGGGTCCTTGAGCTTGCACAGCAGGTGGCGAAACCATTGAGCTAAATCCCCAGCCTGACATCTTATTTTTATTTATTTCTTTTAGTTGTATGCCCAGTATAGAAAGCGCTAGAAAATATAGCAGTTTTATTTTTAGTTCATGAAGAAACTTTTTTTCTCCATATGGTTGTACTAATTATTTATTAATTCTAATGACATAGATCTTTTAAGTTAGGTGTTTCAATTTGACTTAAAATTTTATCTCATTTGTGTCAATTGTTTAGACAGATTCACAACAAATTGACTCAGTTCATTTGAAAAGTTAACTCTCCTTTTAGGTTATTCTTCTTTTCTCCTTTTCCTCCTCATTATTGAATATTCAGGAGTAGTGGAAACATACATTTAACATAGGTGTTTCAGGAGGGTGTCTGGTCTTCATGTGCACTGCTATTGATATTTGCTTTGATGTTTGATGTTTGTCTTTGATAAATCTCTGAGAACACACGTCAGCATCCAAGTTATGTTTGAAAATTCTGTGCTAGCATCTCCTATAATATGGATGGTTCTACCTGGTACTTTGGGCACAATGCTGGCATGTGCTGCTAATGACTGTGGGCCTTGCTATTACCTCCAGTCCCAAGGTTCCTGTACTTTGCAGCCTCCGTAGCCTGACACCAGACATCTTCCAGTTGAATGCATTTTCAGCACTTCCCCTGTCATCGTACTGGAGTAAACGCTCATCTGTATCTGCTGTATGCTTGATGGTAGAGCCATAGGACACCACCTTCTGGCCCACATAATGCATACTTCCATCAGAACTGTGGCTTCTCTGACACCATGATGAGTCACAATGATATAGTTCAGGAAAATGGAGGTGGGGTGGGAGTGTAGCTCTGTGACAGAGCACTGGATTTAATCTGCAGCACCACAAAAACAAAACAAACAAAAATCAAAGTAAAAGCAAATTGAGTACTAACATCATTGTCCTCGAATTATTTCTCAATCAAATCTCTTTAGCTTTTTCTATTTAAATCTTTTTTTCCTTAGAGAATATTTTTCTTTTTCTGTTCTTGGGCCCTGATCTTATGGTCTAGTTTTAGTGGCCAAAAATTGCTGGGAGTTGAAGAGACAAATCTCTAATGGACTCAGAAAGGAAAGGACATATTTCAAAATTTATTGCTTCACTGTAATTGTAGTAATAAATTAGAGAAGACTTCACATGTCTGTCTAGTTGAAATCATCTTTGCTCTTATGATCTTTGTTCCCACAATAACTTTATTTTTCTTCAAGCTGTGTAGGGCTGCAGACCCAAGCATACTTGCATTTGCCTCCCCTAAAAAGGACACTGAAAATAGACATAAATTAGGGCTGTCACTCACTGCAACAGAATAATGAGTCTGCACATATGGAGGCTACATTCCACGGTAGATAGTGGGAGTTTTAAGATTGGGCCTCAGTCAACCTAGACTCTTAGTCAATTTGTTCATGATTCAGAATCAAGGACAAGTGATTTAAGTTTCTTCTCTGTTACTAACCAGAATGACAGGCTACCTCTGGCTTCTCACCTCAATAATCTACGGACTTTGCTAAAAATTGTCTCTTGCAAAATGAAAATAATAAAGATAATATTGGATAGCACTGTTGGAATATTGATCCCAAACTTTAGGGAGTGAGGATAGAAGTAATATCGTAGTAAAGTGCAATGATTCACCCCTGGGTCATTCAAGTGCATTTTCAGAACTTCTACTGCCATCATAGTTGTAGTAAACGCTCATCTGTATCTACTCTGTGCTTGATGGTGGAGCCATTAGATGCCACCTTCTAGCCCACACAATGCATACTGCTGTGAGAACTGTGACTTCTCTGACACCCTGTTGAGTCACAATGATATAGTTCAGGAAAATGGAGGTGGGATGGGAGTGTAGCTCTGTGACAGAGCACTGGATTCTTTGTTTTTAGATAAGTATATATAGTATCCTGATTTGTACAGAATTGAAAAAGTATAGAACTCTACACAGTATCTGACATCATGAAATTAGAGAAAACAAAAACGTGACCTATCTCAAACACAGCTGTACTTCCAAGTCTTTAGTTCGTTTGTGCTAAACCATTAGACATTTGCTCTGAGCTTCTCAGCATACGATCACATTTTCCGCCTGCAATGAATGCCGAGATGATGCAGCAGGTTTAACATGCTACACTTGAAGCTGAAGGTGGGGCAAATGTTCTGTGTTAAGGATTCCATGGTAACCAGGAATGTAGATACAAGAAAGAGGCTCAGCCAATCAGATGTTCCATTAAGAACTCTGAATCCTGATAAGTGACACACAGGATTTGAGTGCCTTCCAGGGGTGGCTATGGTAGGTCTAGGGTTCCTAATGTGGAAGACTGTCAGGGAGAGGGAGGGGGATATGGTCCAGCAGGAGTGGTACTGAGTGTTCAGTGACCTGAGTTAATTCTTCCTATGGTATGATCTTTGCTAAATATTATCTCTTTGTATTCTTGCCTTGTTACCAAACCTTCCTGTCAATTTTACAATTTAAAGACAATTACATAGTGTAATTTTCTACCTGCCCAAATGATACTAAAGCTTATTTATTCCTTTTGTATAGGGGGAAAATGGGTCATGCAGACAATTTTAAAGAGTTATAAATGATTATGTGGTAGTGAACCGTCCTCCCCAAATGGAAACTAGTTTATTAAATGATCATTCCTGGAATTTAAATAAGCATACTGGTGGGCATTATTATGTTACAAATTCATCCAGGTTATATTCCTCAGTCTTCTTTTCTGCAGTAGACAATGATATTTCAAGGTGAGGGTAGAATGCAATTGTGTTTCATTTTGTGGTCAGGTTTTAGTGCAGATAAGAGAATTCCTGAGAGAGCCTCTTTCTGTGCTTGAGAATGGGGAAGAAGCAAGATAAAATTAGAGAGGGCATCAATATAAGGCAGTTTTGAAACATAGCGGGATGTCATGTTGACGCACCAGTCTTTAGGTATCATTTTCTGAACTCTAAAATTACGATGCAAAGAAATTATTTCCCAATTTAAATAAGCAGAGTTGATATAGGTAGTCAGAGCTAGATATCTGATTGTGTTAGCCACTGAATAGGTAACTTGTAGAGCTAATCACACTTTTAGTGACTGATAGCCTCCTTCAAAGACTTCTTTCCCCCCCAAATCAATTCCTCCAGAAAAACTTTCAAGGAACCAGCCAAAGTCATGGAGTCACTCTGACTTTCTCTTTTTAGGTGACCTAGAGTAAACTTCGGTCATGAAAATAGTAAATTGTCTGCCCAGAGGCATTCCTGTCTACCTTTGAAGTATGACCTTGACATGGGCATGCTTAATATGTGCCTACTTCAACATGCGATGGTAGTGCTCAGTTTCTATATGAACAGGTGTAAGTTTCCTCAATAAAAGCCCCTTTCTTTCTTTGTTTGGAGTCACTGCCTCCAAAGGTTATTGCCAGTGCTCTTACCTATTCCAAGTAGTAAGCTTCTCTGGACTCTTTCATCTCCTCGTTGTGCTTATTAGCTTTGCACCCACTGTGGGGAGAACTCCTGAATTTGGTTACAGTTGCAGCAAACAAAGTACACCCAAAGTGAAGCCCGTCTGTTCGATTTTCTTCTCTTAGGGTCCATGGGCCTGCACATAGCAGCCTCTGATCTCTCCCATTAGATGGATGATTGAGTCATTTTAATTCTGAAACATGACTTTGGGGATACTTTGACAAATGGGTGTTTAGCTATAAAAAGTTGCTGGGGATTTGGAGGTTGTACAAACCCAACAGGCTGATGTAACTAGTTCTGTAGAAGAGATTTCTGTCTGGGGGTCCACAGTACATTGTCTTTACTCTATACCTCTATAATTTCTATTCCCCAGGGCCTCAGTATGCTAGATATTAGGAAAAAATGCTGACATAAAACAATGCACACTCGTAGGCTAGTAAATAGCAGCTTTTCTATGATGCTTTCTAGTAACAAGATAAATGTAGAGGTATTGATGCTATGTGAGACTTTCTGGCTATGTGCAGAATGCTAAAAATTCTCCCTCATGCCTTTGGGATCCAGCCATCCATATCCATTTCTAGGTTCTAGGCCCCCTTTGGGTTTGTTCCTAGGGATTGTTTAAGTAATTTGATAAATTTTTCTATCAGGTATCTGGAAAACTAAAAGGTAATTACTTCTTGATGGCTAAACAAAAGAATTAAGCTGCTGTGTATCTCAGTACTCTCCTCTCTTTTCTTGCCAAGAATGTAAATGGCCCACAGTTAGGTACATATAACCAGAAAAAGTACTTATTATTGTAATGTGTTTTGTTTGTCCACAGGTAAGAAAAAGCGCTTCACTTCAACCAATACTTTTTAATGTAGTACTAGTATTTGCAAACATTTATACGTGATTTTTCTTCACTACCTGAATTTCCACATGTTCTCTGGATGAATGACTCTTACAGCATGGCCACAGACACCAGGAAAAGGCATTTGTCCAGGAATTATGTCAGGGTATTTTGTTTAATTGTTGCATTTTGGTTCTAGTAACAGCAATGTTATAGCAACAAAATTAGAATTGCTATAAAGATATGCTAAAAAATAAAATAAAGATCTGATCCCTGGTCCTTGTCCATTTACTTTCAGGTTCTTTCTTCCAGGAGTTATCAGAAAAATAAGATAATTACATAACTAAGATAAGATGTTTCTGGTATCTTTAGTACTAGGATACTGTCTGACTGAGGTGGTTTAAAATTGTTCTTAAAAATAATAATGGAATTAGGAAATGTTAGAACTGAAATAGATTTTGTCAGTGTGGCATAATCTCACTTCTTAATTTTATGTTATTAAAACTGAAGCCTCTAATGATGGAGTGGTATGAGCGACATTGAATATTTCTCATTTGTCTATTGAATTAGTCTTGTGTTTGACTCATTATATCAAGCAGCTGGGTCCAGTGTGTTGCTTACATGAACTTATTTGGATGTTTGCATAAGTCGCAATGTATGAATAAATGGATATATATATATATATATATATATATAGTATTCAAAGGAAAAAGATATGCAAGGAGTTCAATGAGAGAGGGAGAGAGAGAGAGAGGGAGGGGGAGGGACAAAGACAGAGACAGAGAGTTCAGGACCCAAGGCCTCACCATTAACATGTTTTTAAAAAATTATTCTCATCTGGAAACCATCAGGATGACTTAATCAGGCATCATTCAAAGCTCTATTAGAAGCCATGATTTCCAATTTCATGTAACATTTGGGTTAAAAAAGATTTGTTGCTATTGAAAACTAGAATAATAGGTTCAAAAGATTTGCAGAAATAAATTGTGCTACACATGGGAATTTCTTCCCCTAATTTTCCAATTGCTAGACGAAAATTCCTCTTTTTACTATATCTACTGACATCTAGTGTTGTGCTGAGTTGTTTACACCTACACGATCTGCAAGATCACCATTGGAGATCTGAGTATTACAAACTTATCCATGGAACGCTGTTGCAGGTTTCAGTTTTCCAATGCTTAGATTTCTGTACAAAATGAGAGGTGTCATCATTGTTATTATTTTTTGCCTTTCTCTGCTTTGTAAATAACACTGGACAGAAAGCTTTAGAGAAACGGGTGGTGCTGTGCCTGGGCCTGATTTGCTTACGAGAGGAAATTTCTTCTGAAAATATTTAATGCTTAGTTTTCTGGAGCCTAATCATCTCAGTTGGTACATCTTGTCCATCTTTTTCCCAGGCCCATTCTAATATATGTAGTCTTGTTCATTCAAATACTAATACTTCTACTATCTCCCGAGTGAAGATGTAACCAGCACAGTAAAATGGAACTTTAGAAGTCAGACTTCTTTTTCTCTTAGAGACAAGTTGCTTCTGCAAATTTCCTCTTGCTGCATGCAGAATTAACTCTTCTCAGCCTGGATAAGTGGACACTATATGCAGATGTTGACCCCAGGATGTTGGATCTAGTGATTCCACAGGAGGGGAGGGAGTGGGAGTTGGCAGGGTGATGAAAAGGCCTCAAAATGTGTAATGTCTCATTGTATTTTCTCTCCTTCTGTTCCTTGCTGTAAAGACCCTAGCACATCTATACATGCTGAAATGGTGATTGGAGGCAGTTGAGGCCCTTCCATCTCCTCCAAGCTATCTTTGAGTAAAAATTTTTTCCTTTTCACCAAAATTAAAGGCATCCTTTGGTTTGGTCAGTGGTGAGCAAACAAATCTCGGAGTATAGACCTAAGGGACCAATAACAAAATGAAAATGAATTATTGAAATGTAGAACTGGAGAGAATTTAGAATCATGGCTTCCAGTACCTCTGGCCTTTCCACTGCTAGAGGCATAAAAATCAGAAAAGTTATGTTTCTTCCAGAATTGATAGCTGATAAGATCAACATCAGAATAAGAAATTTAGAATAGAAGAAAGAATCTTGATTAGTTGGTCTGATTGACAACAAAACCCAGATTTGGAAAATGTATCATTCCAGTTCATTTAGTAGCCTAGAGACAACATCCAACCTCTTACCGCTCTCTGCCAGACCATGCTTCTTCCCCACTCAGAAACACAAGAGTGGAAATGATCACCTCTATCACTTCTGAATGTAAGACAAAAGAGAATATCGGAATGGACAAGTCGTGGCATGCTGAAGCCTATGCAACATTTTGTGCTCCTGGGATTTTATATTTCCATGTGAGTTTACTTCTAATTAGTATATTCTCTATGAGTTCAGAGTAATGGGTTTTCCATCACTTACTAGTCACATATTGAACGCAATTAGCTTCTTCTTGACTTTTATTTGAAAGCATTTAATGGCACTAATTAGCAAAGTTTTAAAGTTATTGACCAAGAATAAAATCAACCTAGTCAAGAAGGAAGAAAATTACATTTGCTGAGATAAGTTAGGACTGCAAGGCAGGAAAACACAGACTCAAGCAGTTGTGAAAATACCCTCCTAAGTTTTACAAAATATCGGCCATATTTAAAGCTTGAAACTATAGCTAGGGTGGCGGTTGTATCATTTGTTTGTCAGGAATTGTGATGGGTACTAGTGGGAGTTAAGCTATTTTATAAGAAAGGGATTGGAAGTTGTTTCAACCTCTAGATAATTTAGGGGAATTGGGAGTTTTCACAAATAATTCATAAAAGGTAGTGAATTGCAGTTTGGCTTAGGCCAAAGGTCAACGTGCATTCTGCTTGGAAGTGCAGCCCCCAAATCCAGTTGCAGGTAGGCCTGAGATCTGACTAACAGTGCCTGCTCAACTTTGTTTTAAGTGCCCCAAACTAATACTACTCCATCTTGAATTTTTCCCTTGACAAAATTTATCACGAAAGAATTTTGTCAATTATCTCTCACAAAAACATTTCCATCCACTTTTATCAACTATGTGTATTAATTCTCTTCAATCAAAAAGAAAGAAGTTCTAAAAAAATAACAAAACCCTACTGTTTCTTGAACGTTTTTAGTTGTCCTTCTCTTTTTGAATGGGATCCGGAAGGCTCCCAGAAGTCACTCCCTGCTTAAAAAATTGTTCTCGGTCCTAATCTGTGTCACTCCTTTTCCTATGACAAGGGCAAATGAAGAATCACTGGGTGGCTTCTGGTTTATGGTTAAAGATCTTTATGGTTGTGGAGCTCTTGCTTTACCCTTTCCTTTGCCTGAGCTTGAAAATTCAGAACTTATTAATTATTTGATCTGGTAACAGCTTTAAAAAAGGAAGGCTGGGAAAATGGATTTAAAGAAAAATGGAAATACTTCACTTCTGACAAAGGATGAGAAAAGCTTTCCAACTCAAAAGGTTTACTGCAGCATTGCTAGCCAACAGGTCACTAAATGGCAGGTACATTTTACTATTTAAAGGACCAGTGTGAATATTTGTATTTTGTAAAGTGAACATTTTTTTTGAGAAATAAATTCTGAGAAAGGGATTATAGCACCTAGCACTTACCTGATGATCAAGAAAAAACAAAAAGACACTTGTTTGTCAGCGTTATTGTACTATATAAGGTATTATTTTCCTTTCACCTGAAGCTCCATAGAATTTTAAGTTAGGATGCTCTGGTTAATCTAACATTTTTATTATTTATTTATTTATTTTGTACCCCACAAAAGGTATTGGTTTGTAAAGGATTAGAAAATGATGCATTAGGCAATGTAATAGTGTTGGGTATGATGTTTTCTCTTTTAGAAGAGATTCTTGAAACTCTTCTCAGATATTTTTGAATCATGACTGAACTTTCACACTACAGAAACTCTGAGCCACATTACACTATGGGAATATTGTGAAATCTCTGTTGACAAATTTGCTTGGTTATGGTTCCTCATACTAATTTATGCAAGCATGGAGTATCCATTTATATGCTAAACATCATGGGTAATATAGAAATGAATCAACTGCAATTAAGTTATTTGCCAACTACTTGGGTAGTCTAATTTTCTTTTAACCAACTCATTCTTCTGCCAGTCAAAGTGAGCCAAATATGCTCATGAAGAAATGAGGCATGTCCGGGGATAATTAACAAATGCATCAGCTCACAGTTATCATTTTGTAGTGAGAAGATTCAAATTCCAGTATATCATCAACTATCATCTGTTGAACTTACTCTTCCTAATTTAATTATGCAGGCTTTGACCAACATTTCTCTAATCTTCCCTCCCAATCATGTCAAATATGATAAATACCATTCTACTCTCTCCTTTTATTAGATCAAAATTTTTATTCATCACTTTTGTAGAGTAAGATGAAAATTTTAAAAAATGAAAACAGTAAGTATCTTGGTCACTTGCATTTGAGCTTATGTGATTTATGACTAAATGAAAGTAAGGTAGAATAGTTGACATGTGACTACGTTGCTCTGTTCTTAGCCTGCAACAATATTTTCACCTCTTGCAATTACCATAAAATTCTTCCTCCTTATAAAATATATCTGTTTATAGTGATTTACTGTTAGCAGTTTTCTCTGGTGCATACCATCTCATTGTATGTACTTCCTCAGATTAAATCTGTGTTTTGGTAAAGACCTGCCAGGCCTTTTTCTATTTGTAGACGTAAATATCTCACTTAGAGTAGGGGTGAGAGTTCTTGATCAGGGGCAACTTGGCTAAAAGTTCCTGGTCCTAATTCTGGGAACTAAAGAAAAGACCAGGTTTACAGTTCCTGGTGAGGAACTCTCTATTACTCTGAATTATTTGAGTGACCTTTCAAGAACTTAAATTGAACCTCAGTTGCAAAAATTAAGCACTCCCTCTTCCATCTAAGAAAAGCAATGCATATTCTGGAGATACATGTTGCCTGGCAACAAATGCATACTTCCTTCTTTTTAAGAGAACTGCCTAAAATGCTAGGAAAAAAATTTGCCATAAAAAGTCAATAACATAAATCTGATGAATCTTACTGTAGGAGGAGAGCAAAGAGACAAAATTTGTATAACTTTGTATTTATATGTGTTTGCATGCGTGTGTGCATATGTGCCCATGGGGTGGATAGATGGAGAACACTGGATAGAAAGAAAGTGGAATAGATCAATCAGACCAATGAACTAATTAATAAATTCTATGGT